GTTTTGGATTTTAGGGGGGGTAGACCGGGGTAAAATTTACAAAATTCTCAAAAAATCTTGGGGGGGGTATTGGGTGGGGTAAGATTTTTATTGCATTTTTAAACGGCAATTTTTTCAAAAATCCAAAATCAAGGGGGGGGGGTCTAGAGAAAATTCCCTAAAAATTCCTTAAGTTCCCGAATATTCCCATGTAAATTCAATAAAATTCCCACAAGTTCCCGTATAAATTCCCGGGAAAATAGGTAAAATTTCCAAAAATATAAAAAAAAACTTAAAAAACTTAAAAATTAACAAAAATTTAAATTTTAACAAAAAATAAATATTTTTTAAAAAAATTTTTTAAAATTAATAAAAACTTAAATTTTAACAAAAAAAATAAAATAATGTATTTAAGATTTAAAAATAGTTGATAAAAGCATTAATGATACACTATGAGTTATTTTTAGTATTTTAATAATTTTTAACTTTTAACATAATTAATTTTTTAAACAATACTTAATGTTTATAGTTTGTTATATATTTTTATTTTTATACAAATACTGACTGAATACTACTTATTTAACTCAAATTTCGTTAAAGTTTAATTATATTAAGTACAAAATTGAAAATATTTTTAAATTTTTTATTTAAAATTTAAAAATTATTAATAAAAACATAAGTATTTATTGTTTTATTAACTTCTTAAACTTATATTTAAATTGTAATATGATTACTCTTTTCAACAAATAGGTAATTTTTAATTTTTTAGTTTATTTTAATTAAAATAATGTTATTTTTTGATGACTTTTAACGTTATTTTAACTATTTTTAATCAATAATTAGATTTTTATAAATATTAAAAACATAAAAACACTTACTAAAATAGTATCAACTAAAATTAAAATTTTTATAAATTTCAAAAAAATTTTCGGCGCCTRCGGCGCCGAAATTTTAGGGGGGGGGTCATTTCTCCTCGTTTTTAAGCGACAATTTTTTCAATTTGGTCAAAAAGTCTGGGGGGGGTAAAATCCCAATTTCTCGATCTTAGGGGGGGGTATTTTGGCCTTACCCCCCCCCCCCCCCCCCCTTACTTAACCCTGATATATATATATATATAGTGTCCTAACTTGATGACCAAACACACACATATATATACTGTATATATATATATAACATGTCTTTCATTATCTATAATTACTTGAATGAATTATTTGTGAATTAATTATCTGTATTTTATATATGTATATAAAAAAATATTGCACACAATTATCGATTATAAATACAAATAAATAATTTCAAAAAAAAAAAATCAATTAGAAATTTATTTAGTTAAGTAGTTATTAATAAATGCAAACATATTATATGTATATATATATATTGTTTATTAAAGTTATTAAAATAATAATAATAATAATAATACAGTAGTTATAATATACTGTATGTCCCGATGAGTGAGTGAGTGAGTGAGTGAATGAGAGAACCGGTAGCTTATGGACAGACAGGTATAGACGACTACACCATTAGAAACAAAATCATTCCTCCTCTTCATTATCACTGTCCTCTTCCTCCTCCTCCAACTCTTCCTCCTCATCGTCTTCGTCGTCATCCATTAGTTCCAGTCGTGTCCAATCAAACTCCATGTGCGGACCATTGAATATAATATGTATAGACATTTCCCGTGTATACGATAAGTTGGTCAACAATTTTGGCGAAAATAGAAAATATTGACTATTAGTTCGGACAGATGTTTCCGATATCAGACCAAATACTGATCGTTCATTGTTTTCGTCCATTCCCTGTGAAAACAGACAAACAGTTAGACAGACTGTTAATTATCGGTACAATTGTACGGTAAGAGTGACCAGTTATCTGGTCAATCAAATCAAATACCTGATTGATTTCATCCACGCACCGAAACGGTACGTGCGTTAGCTCCTGGAGTGCGATCATATAGATCATTGTCGATACACTACGTTCGCCGCCCGACTGAAACGATGTCAGCTCCCGGAGCTGTTCGGTGTGACGGAACTTGACTTTGATTGATATACCGTATTCATCGTACGATTCCTTTAATTTAACCGATAATTGAAAAAACAATAAACAATCAAAAAAAAATTACCGATAAATACCAAAAACAATTATTATTTTAGTTTTTTAAGGTTTTATTTACCAAATCGTTTGGCGGCTTATAGAGACCAACTTCGCCGGCATAGTTCAATCGGTCCATAAAATTACCGAAATTCTGGTTAATCCTATCTATTAGGTGTTCCAATGCTGGCAGCCATTGGTTTTTCAGCTGATCCAGACGTTTCTGTTTATCGCTCAGTTCCGATTGCCGGGCCTGTAGGTCACGTCCGCGTCGTTCAATAGTACGCTGTCGTTCGTTATACTGGTCGCGAACAGTATCGTCGGCATCGAGTATACTATTCATACGTAGCCGTAGTGTACCGATATGTGTGTCGATTTCGTCGACCGTATTCGGCAGCGAATCAAACTTTTCACGTGTCTGGTCATCGCAATCGTTAACATCGAAACCCGATTGATCTTTGGCCGCATCCCTCAAACGTTTGGCTTCGCGTTTGATATCGTGTACCACTTCTTCTAGTCGCCGAATTTCTTGATTAATACCTTCGAACTGATTGGTAGCTTTGGCCAGTTTTCGTTCGGCCAGTTGCTGCCGTTGCCGAGCAAAACGATCGACCAGTTTGGCCAATAAATTTTCCGTATTCGATTGGACACATTTTCGGACACATTTGTTCAGATCCGTGGATAAATCGATTAGTTTTTCTTCTAGTTTACCGATACTGTCCTCAGTTTTGCGTTTAATTGCCGGCAAATCGATCGATTGACGCCTATATCGGTCAATTGCCGACAGTTTTTCGTTAATCTTTGTTTCCAATACTAGTTTTTCGTTCTTTTTTTGTTCCAAAAATATCTTTTTATCTTTCGATGACTTTGATTCAGCCGCTAAATCGGCTAATTGTTGTTCAATCAGTTTGATTTCATCGTAAACTCCGGTCAATTTCTCGGTCAATATTTCCAGTTTACGGTTAATCTGTGTCAACTGTTCCCTATCGACAGTCAAATTCAAATAGCGGGCCTCACGTACGGCCGAACTGGTCGTTACCCGATGCTGATCGTATCGTGAGGTAGTAATCACGTGCAACGAGTTTCCCGTATAGATACGTTTGAAACGGCCGAACAGGTCGTTCTGGAAATGTTTATCGGTATCCGAATTGCCGACTGGTATCTGATGCAAGTAACCGGTTTTGCACAGATAGGCCACTACGGTATCGGGTGCGCTAAACATATCGCGTACAGTCGAGTAGACACCGTAACGTTTTAGTCGACTGATATCGCACGAGTCGAACTGATCCAGCGATTCGCGCGGTGCCATCACTACGTTGACCCGTAAGTTGAGTTCCTGTTGTAACGATTGGGTAAACTCCCGCAGGTCGTCGGCATCTTCGCATATGAATGCACTCAGATCGCGGTTATTGATGGCCGACTCGACATATTTGGCCCAATCTGGCCGTTCGATGTCCAATTGGGTCATAATCGGCGGATATATACGCCGTCGGAAACGTTGGTCGTCTTGTTGTTGTAGCCATTCGTACGCTTTATAAGCCGACGGATCCAATTCCCGAAGTTTAGCCAATCGTTTGCGAAATATGTCTTCGATATTACGTTTTTCCACTTCCAGACCATTCTTCTGGATAGCCAACTGATCTCTTTCTTCTTTCAAGCGAACACGCGATTGATTGGATTTTTCAATATCTTTGTTCAGCGAATGTAAACGTTTGACAATATCCTGGATTTGTCTGTCAATGGCTTCCGTATCCAAGCCGTCGCCGTCATCTTCGTTGATATTTTCGTATTGTGTCCGCAAATCCGTTAAATCTGATTCCAGTTTCTTCAATGTTGCCAATCGTTTTCGATCGTTATTTTGTTGTTCAAAATATCGGGACTTTTCTTCGCGTATCTTATCAAACAATTGTTCGATTTTCACTTTTAATGGTTCAATAGATTTGGCCACTGATGCCAACTGTTGGCCCGAATCGGTCTTTTTCTGATGACTCACGGCCGCCGCTTTGCGGGCATTGTTGGTCTCCGATTTTAACGGATCCAATACCCGTTGCAATGTCTGACGATTTTGTTTCTTCTCCAACAGTTCATCCTTAGCCGTCTGATACTCGACTCGTTTGTCTTCGTACTCAATCCACGGCCTCTTCTTTACCAACCACTGGATATCCGTCTTATATTTATCTCGTTCTTCAATCCGACGCAATTCCTCCTCAGCCCGAGCCTGTTGTTCACGTTCGCTACTGATCTGATCCGTTAGGTTACTGTTGATTGCATTCAATTTTTTAATATCTTTGGCCAACGCGACCAGTTGCTGATGATTGTCAAACATTTGCTGATCGCCGGCCGCTTTTTCCGTACATTCCAACAGTGTTTTCTTGTCCATAGCGACAAACTGTAGGACACGTTCCTGGGGTAGGAATTGACACAAATTGTCGACATTGATGTTCAGTTGGTGGGTAAACTCGCGGACAGCCGTACGGGTGGCCTCACGGCCGTTCAGTTTGAACGATGACGTGAATTCAGTTTTCCCTGAAGTTGATGTCGTTTTTTTCTGTATGACCCGTTGGATCAGATAGTTCTTGGCATTGGGTGTGTCGTTGTACAGCTCGATCTCGACCAGTGCCAGATCGCACCCGAATCGGATGTATTCGCCTGTAAGTGATGTAATCAATTACCCGATAAAAACCAATAGCTTATCCATAGCTAATGTATATATTCAATACCTAAATGACCCGATCGGCCAGTAGTGGACGGTTCGCCGCCTAAACCGATAATTATCGAACAGACCAGTGCCGACTTGCCGGTACCGTTCGGACCCAATACCAGATTCAGATGCGGTCCGGCCGTAATCTCTACCCGTTTGTATGTCCTGTGAGACAACAATAACAAGTCATCAAAAAGTGTCCGCAAAATGAAATCAATCAATCAATCAAAATGTTTGTTTACATAAAGTCTTTAAGTAAAAGTCGGACCAGATTTCCATTCTTGTAGACAATGGCTGTGTCGTCGTCATCATCGGCGGTTGTATCGGTGGTATTGCGGTCTATATCGCCGCCGCTGCCGCTGTTGGCAACACTTTTTGTCGGTGTCTTCTTCTGGTTGTTGTTGTTGGTGTTGGTGGCGGTCATTGTCTTCGTCGTCGTCGTCGTCATCGTCGTCGCCGCCGAAGACTTATCGGAAACGGTCTTTCGTTTCATTTTTCTTCTTTCGTATCAAACAAAAAACCGATGAAGAAGTGAAAGACACGCCTGAATCACACATTCAGTACTGAATTTAAAATAATAATAATAATAACAATCAATGGGTTATAATATTCTTGTTGTTCGTTGGGATCAGTTATCCGGTGATAATATCCTCAATGATTATATGATATTATTATTATTATTATTATTACATATCGTATGAAATATTATATATATATTAAGTAATAAATAAAATAAAACTTCAAAATAGCGGTCAAAATACTAAACACAAACACAGAGAGAGAGAGTTATAGAGAGAGAGAGAGAGAGAGTTATAGAGAGAGAGAGAGATAGAGAGTTATAGAGAGTTATAGAGAGAGAGAGAGAGAGAGTTATAGAGAGAGAGAGAGATAGAGAGTTATAGAGAGTTATAGAGAGAGAGAGAGAGAGAGAGAGAGAGATAGAGAGAGTTATAGAGTTATAGAGAGAGAGAGAGAGAGAGAGAGATATTGCAGTCATTGAAAAATTGTATTAATGTTATAAAAATGGACATAAATAACGTCGAAAAACATGTGATATCCGATGAATATTATATGTTTGTTTGAAACGACTAATTGACAACATTATTGATGGTATAGTAATTGGGAATAAAATGCGCCAAAAAATATATACTAATAATAATAATAATAATAAACTTCACAATGAATTTGGTATTAATAAAAATAATAATAAAAATTAAAGTTTTTTTTTAACAAATATACAGTATATTTGTATTAATTATTATTATTATTATTATTATTATTATTACAGTTTTAGTTGTATTAGTGTATTGTATTTGCGGTTAAAATAATAATAATAATAATATCAAACAAAACAAAACAAAATTAAAAAAAAAAGTTATGACCAAAAAAAATCAAATCAATCAATTGATCCATTGATTTGATCCATTAATTACCGGCAACTATATAGTCGATTGGCTGTCTCCCGACCCGCGGGAAACCCGATTACCCGATAACACACGCGTGTTATATATCCATACATACAGTGTGTGTAAGTAATCATTGATTTATAACAAAACAAAAACAACAAAAAATTATAACTTTTTTTTTGTTTTGTTTTGTTTGTTTGTATCAATCAATTAGTATTAATAATAATAATAAAACCGATGATTATATTATAGGCCGTAGTCGTCATTGTCATCGGTGGTAAAGACAGACAGACAGACAGACAAACAGCAGTCCAATCAAACACAAACAAACAAACGGAAGTGTTTTTTGGTTTTCAACGCCCGCCCGCGCGGATCAACTACAAGATTATTCAATTGTTTTAAGTGATAGTTGTTGTAGTCGTCGTTACCGACGATCATCATCATGAGGTCATACACGCCGCAGATATCCTGGCATAACAGAGATCCCATACTGAGTGTTGATCTACAGAATCGGGTGCTATCGGCAAACAACGATGGACAGGTGTCCTATAGGATAGCCACCAGCGGCAATGATTCGCATGTTATCATATGGAAGACAACTATCAACGACAACAACAACAACAAGTCGATGGCCACCACCGCCGCTGATAAAAATAAACCCGAATCAACCGGTAAATCAGCGGCCAATAAACGCCTACCCAATGTTACCCTTGAATGTCTGGCCGATCTGACAAAACATCAGCGACCAGTAAATGTGGTTAGATTTTCGCCGAACCCTGAGGACAATATGTTGGCCGCCGGCGATGACGAATGGGTTATCTATTTGTGGCGAATGGAGTCCAACAACAATAACAACAACAACGGCGTCGATAGTAGTGGTGATGTCAAACCCATATCGGCTGTACAGCCGATAGTTGCCAATAGAAACAAACGACAAGAGTTTTGTGTGAAAAACAATGGCAAAAATAGCGAAGAAGAAGAAGACGACGATGAGATACAAATACTGGAACGACAAGCCGACGCCATTTCGTTGACCACCACTACCACCGCAGCCGCTGCCGCCACCGCCTCATCAGTAGTAGTAGTAGAACAGCCGTTCGGCGAAGACGAAGTAATTGCTACGGAAGTATGGAAACCGTGGAAAATATTACGCGGACACGTCCAGGACGTATCGGACGTGTGCTGGTCGCCGGATGGCCAACGTCTGGCATCGGCATCCGTCGATAATACGGCCATCATATGGGACGTAGCCAAGGGTACCAAATTGCATAAGATTGTCGAACACAAGGGTTTCGTTCAGGGCGTTGCCTTCGACCCAATCGGCAAATATGTGGCCACTCTATCGAACGATCGTAATATGCGATTAATTGATGTCAAATCGGGCCGAACTGTTTACCGAGTATGCAAAATGCGTACCGGAGATGATGGCCTCCTCGGCGAAGGTGGCGGCAAAAGTTCGTCCTCCCGATTGTTCTATGACGACACTTTGCGGTCGTTTTGCCGCCGATTGGCGTTCAGTCCCGGCGGCGAGTTTCTCATAGCACCGTCCGGTATATTAGAGCTTAACGATGATAAAAACATCAGCGGCAACGGTGGTGACACCACTACCGCCACCAACAACAGTAACAATGAAGACGCAAACAAATATATAAACACTACTTATATATTTGAAAGAAAATCGTTGAATAAGTATTTAATTAATTAATTAATTAAAAAAAAAATTATTAATTTTTTTCGGTGTGTAATTGTTAAATAATAATTATTATTATTATTTGTTTTCTATTGTTTAGGCCATCATTTTATTTGCCATCGAAAAAGTATACCATTGCTGTCAGCTGTTGTCCAAAATTGTTTAAACTACAAGAAAATATTGAAAATCAATTTCAGTAATTATTTTTTAATTTTTTTTAAAAATTAATTAATTATTAATTGTTTTCTTAATTTACCGATAATTACCGGTACAACAAATATATATATATAGATATCCGTACCGAATAGTGTTTGCAGTGGCCACCCAGGATTCGGTCTATTTTTACGACACACAACAAACGCTGCCGTTCGGTCAGGTATCGCAAATACATTATCTGCGACTAACCGATCTTCAATGGTCGCCCGACGGTCGTATGCTGATTGTTACCTCAACCGACGGTTTTGCCACATTCATTACGTTCGATGCCGGCGAGTTAGGCCAGCCATACGACGGCCCGACCTTTAATTTTGACGAAATAGCGGCGGCTGAGGCGGCGGACGCATCGAAAACATCGCCGGTTAGTACCGGTAAGAACAAAGCAAACAACAACACTACCGTAATAGAGAACAACACATCATCGGCGGCGTCGTCGGTAATGACCACACCTGAAGCGGACAGATCGGCTAAGCCTAAGATATCGACGCCGTCGATAACCAACTTTTTTATACCGAAACGTATAACACCGGGCGTACGGCGGACTCCCGAAACAACAGCAACAGCAGCAGTAGCAGCTGTTCTACCCGAAGGACCGAAACCATTGTCTCAGCAACAAAATCAACAAAACGGTGTCGTCATTGGTGGCCAACAACAACAATCACTACCGACGGCGGCGGTTGCCGTTAAACACGATAAGAGTCCCAATATATTGATTCCCCGAAAAAAGATTAAACTGACACCCATTGAGACAATTGATTTAGTTTAGGTGTCAAATCATTTATATATATAATTAGTTAACTAATTAATTTTAATCTAATTTTAATAATAATAATAATAATAATAATTAAATATAATTGTTTACAACAATAACAACATTAATTGTGTGTATATATATTTATTGTGTATTATTGTTATTATTAGTCACCCACACTCCCCCCCCCCCCCCATTAATATGCGCCCCACCCCACCCCCTACCTCCTCACATCCTATTTGTAATTCTACATACATATTATGAAATGAAATATTTTAGAAATTTTAAATAATAATAATAATAATTATAAATCTTTTATACAATAATTTAATTAAAATAATAATTAATTATTTAATTAATTTTTTTTGAGTATTTTTTTTATCTAACTTTTTTTGTTTTGTTTTTAAGTAAAAGTGAATATTTATTTTAATTATAATTAATTAATTAATGAATATTTTATATACAGTATATATATTTTAAAAATTATTTCACAATTATTATCTATAATTTTTTTGTACAGCAATTTTCTAAAAAATATTTTAGTCAACAAAAAATTAAATAATTAATTAATTACTCATTTTTTTATCACCGAAAATAATTGCAACTTTGATTTAGATATTTTTAAAACAAATAAATTATAAAAATTTTAAATACATTTATGATTATTTAATGTTTTTATTCTCTATGCATACAAACAAATTGAATGATATTTATTGAATGGATATAATATTTTTGTATTTAAAAAAAATTAATTAATTTGTTAATAACTTTTGTTTGTTTGTTTGAAATTATTTATATTAAATATAAATTACAATTATATATATACAATAAATATATCTTAAAATTTTTAAATAATATATTATTTATTATTATATATTTATATTTACAGTAATATAATATGGTTTAATTTGATTTTATTTTACACTTTAATTAAATACACTTATTTTATTTAATTATTTTATTTTAAATATTATATACAGAATAAGTTAAATATCATTTTTATTTTATTAAATATAAGTTTTTTATTTAATTTAATTAAATTTTTATATATTTATATAGTGTTTAATGTACAGTAAATGAATTATGATTTATGAAAATCAAGGTTTACTTATATATATATAATATAAGTAAATAACTTTAACACTACTATTACTGTAATAATAATAATAATAAATTTTATAAATTTATTTTATTATTATTATTATTTATAATAATAATATAAAACTAACGAAAATGTATTATTATTATTATTATTATTATATAATATCGCTATTACTTATGGCTCAATAATTTACTTTAAGTTTAGTATTATTATTATTATTTTGATAACTTTTAAAACGCTATTTAATGAATATTTATGACTTTTTATGACTATTTTTTTTCGGTGTAGAAAATAAAACTAATATATATATATATATATATATATATATATATATATATATATAAAACTGGCAAAAAATACTGTATATTTAAAATCTAAAACACATAGCGTTTTATATATATATTATTATTATTAAATAAAAAACATATAAATATTTTTTTTGTCTGTTATTTTTACCAACAATTTAATAATAAGACACTACTTGAAGAAAAATATATTATTATTATTATTATTATTTTTACAGTAAAAACAAACATTAGTTTTTTTAAACAAAAAAAAACATAAAATATTTTTGTAATTAAAGATTTTTTTTTTTTGAACAAATTTGTTTCAAACAACAAAAAAACTAATTAAATAATTACTTATATATTAGTGAAGTTTTTTTTGTTGTTGACAACAAAAAAAAATAATCTAAAATTAATTAGAAATATAATAAAGTTTTATAATACACTTTATTGTAACAAAAAAATTTTGTTAAAATTTAAAATCATTAATTAATTAATTTTTTAAAGAAAAAAAGGCATTAGAGAGAAAGCTAAAAAAATAATTTTATTTATTTATTATTTTTTTTAAATAAATTTAATATTAATTATTTAAATAAATAATGATTTTTTAATATATATATAATACTGTCATTAGTTAATTAAAAATGCATTTTATAAGTTATATAACTAAAAAAAATTATTTGTTTTTTACACAAAAAAACAACTAATTATATATATATATCTCTGTTTTTTCATAATCTCTCTGTTTTTTTTTAAATTTTGTTTAAGTAGTCATTAAAAAGGCATTTATTTAATTATTTTTAACAAACAAAAAATAATTATAATATATTTTTAAAAGACAATAAAAAAACAAAAAAAAATCTCATAATTATTTTTTTTGATGCTAATCACTATAATGAATGACTAGAATTAAACATTAATTAAACATTTAATTAATTATTAAATAATTACATATATGTATATACAGTATATATATATATATAACTATTGTATTGTTTTTGTACACATAAATACTATATACATTATATATACAGGTATATTTACATAACCTTTGACCCCCTATCAATAATAAGTGGGTTATCAGTGGGGGTGATCAGGAGGGGGGTCACTTTAAACGTTGGGTAACGTTAGCCAATGCAACGGCCAGTGCCTGTAATGCACTGAACGGGTATTGAAAGTCCAATGTATAGGCATTGCCATCAATTCGGCCGAATTGCATAACCTATTAAATAACAACAACAATATATATATTATAATACAATAATAAGTATATATATATATCATATATTATATATATATATATATATATATATATATATCACTATATCTACTACTGTATTAACCAATTACAAGAATATTCTGTATATTGTTGTTGTTGTTGTTTAATATATTTTCTATTATATATATAATAGAAAATATATTAAACAACAATAATATACAGAATATTCTTGTAATGAGTTAATACAATAGTAGATATAGTGATAAAGTTTTTTTTATTAAAAAAATTGTTTATTTAGTATATTATTTACGCAAACTATACTATAGTATAATACTATAATAATTATCCCTATAATACCCGCTACTTATTTTAGGGTCAAATAATTTTCATTTATTTTTTTTTGGGTGATAATTATCATTATCACTAATACGACTACTACTACTACTACTACTTGATTTTTGTGGCTTATGTTGAAATTATTTAAGCTATATATATATATATATATAATATATAATAATTAGGTCGACATTTAATTACTTTCATTATACTGTATTTACGTTATACTAGATAATGATAATAGCGTTAAATATTTTCATTATTATTATATACGGATTATACTGTAGTATAGTATACATTGGATATAATAATAAAAATTATTGTCTCATTAGTTATTCAAATGTTAAAATTAATTTTCCTAAATATTATATTATATTATATATTATATACTATATTAACTCTACTATAATATGTAAAGTGAATAACACATATTGTAATATACGGTACATTAGTATATATATATATATTATATACTAGTATTGAATACATAACATTATATATATATATATATATATATATATAAAATATAATATAATATAAATTTGCATATATTTGCATATATTTATTATTATATTATATATTGAATATTTAATTTATACAACAAAAAAATTAACTAAAAATTAATGAATAAATAAGTAATCTAATTAAAAATAAAATAAAATTATGCTTAAATTACATTAGATTGAAAATGATAAATTTAAGTTTAAAAAATAAAATCATTATTTTTTGTAAAAAAATAATTTAAAACCTATAGCTAATAATTATAAATATAGAATATTTTTAATTTTATATCAAATTTATAATCAATATTATAATAATTACCTAGATATTAAATATATATATAATAATATTAATATAATTATTTGATATTTGATTGTTGAAAAAAATAATAATATTATATTTATAAATATATATATATATTTAGTTTAAATAATAATTTATAGATAAAACCAAAAAATAAAAGCAATTAAAAATGAAAATATAAATAATAATTCAATTGAATTATAATTAATATTATAATTTTCATATACTCTATATATATATTAGTATATACTGATAACTGTAGTAAAGGTGCCTATGAGGGTGGGGTGGTACGGGAAAATAGGTTTCGGGAAAGGGGGGTTACGGGAATAGGGAGTTACGGGAATAGGGGTTCCGGGAAAAGCGGTTACATGAATAGGGGTTACAGGAATAGGGGTTACTGGGAAAGAGGGGGTTACAGGGAGGTCAGTTAGTTTTTTTCAAACAAAAAAATAAATAAATTATTAGCACATACCTGTTTGCCCTGGTATTCAATTTGGAAATTTTTGGCCGATTCCTGTGTAACCCGACCGCCGAAATCCAATTGATAGACTTGGCTGACCTCATTCCAAAGGGGGGCCTTATTATGCAATGTAAACTCACGATAGGTTTCCCGATGTCGGCCACTGCCACTACCGTTCAGGTCGTCCTCTTTCGATGATTCGCCGCCTCTGGGTTTCACACGACTGTTACGGCGTTTCATTTTGAATTTATTTTTCTTCGCCAAGAAGTGGTTCCGCCGCTGAAACGATTCAAGATTCTGGTAATCATTGTTGTTGTTGTTGTCCATTACTGGCTGTTGGTGTTGGTGTTGTTGTTGATGATGACCATCGATGTAGACATCGTTGTCGTCGTCGTCGTCATCATCGCTGGTCTGATCCGTTTCGGAACTACAGTCCAAATAGTTTAGTCTAAAAATGAAAAAAATTAAAAATAATTATTATTTTTTGTTTAAATTATTTTTATAATAATTGATTAATAGGTTTCCTTATATAAGTTAATACTATTATTAATATTATTGATATATATAGATATATACAATAAATGTGTGGTAAATATTATGTAAAAAACAATTTTCAAATAATAATAAATATTATTTTTTTTATTTTTCTATTGATATAATTATATATATATATAATATTTATTTTAAAATTATTTTTTGTTTAAATTATTTTATAATAATTGATTAATAGATGCATAAGGTTTCCTTATATAAGTTATATATTATATTATTGATATATATATATATACAGTAAATGTGTGGTAAATATTATGTGAAAAACAATTTTCAAATAATAAATATTATTTTTGATTTTTCTATTGATTAATATATTAATATAATAAATAATATTTATTATTTAAAAAATTGTTTTTCACATTACATTTACAAACATTTACTATATATATATATATATATATATATATATATATAGTACAATATTAACTTATATAATACTTAAATAATAATTATATAGTAATAGTAATAATTTATATATTTTTTAATAATAATATATTTTTAAAAATAAAAATATTGATTTTTTCTCTTTATATTATAAACATATTTTTGTTTGAATTTTGTTTTATTTGTATTATTATTATTATACTGTGAAACCCAACAACATAAATATTTTTCATAAAAAAAAATAAATAATAAATTGTAATAAATATTTACATAGAGTTTATTATTAATATAATACTATATATATATATATATATATATATATATATTTTCAATTTACTTATTTGATTTAATACTTTTTTAAAAAATAAAATAAAAATAAAATAAAATTCTCTATAACTTTATGACTAATCAAATAAAATAAAATAATAAAATTAAAAAAATATATATATATAATTTAATAAAATAATCAATATTTACATAGCATAATAAAAAAATAATTTTATGTTAAGATTATATTGACATATATTTATATATATATATAATAAATACTTTATTTTTTAAACATTTTTTTTGTTTAATAACTTTGAAAACTTTTTTTTAAAGTACAGTATTATTATAATTATTATTAATTATAAATAATCATAATATTTTTTAAAAATAATATAATATTTGATTAGCTATTCAAATAAAATACATACAGAATAAATACTGTATATTATATATTAAAATTTATATAATAATAATAAAGTAAAAACAAATCACATAAATGTATACATAATAGCTTGAAATACAGTATTATAATAATAAATACTATTATTTTGTTGTTGATATCATAATAATTAATTTATATTGAAATTAATGGGTCTAATGGAGTGTAAATTGGATTTTAATTTTTTGTTGTTGTATTGTACTTATACTGTACTTACAGTATAGCCTTATATATAATATTAAATTAAATCATAATAATGATAATATACTGTACTCTTATAATTTATAGTACTATATATATACAGTATATATACTGTAAGTATGATATAAATTGAACATAAATATAACTTAATAATAATAATAATAATAATAATAATATCGTAAATAGCTTTACTAATAACTTTTATCATTATTATTTTTATTATCATATTAACTGAATTCATTAAATATTAACTATATTAAGTCATATACCGGTATATATATATATATATATATATATATATATATATATATATATATATATATATAGCGGTATATAAATTATATATAAAATCTAATATAATATAATAATATATAATAGAAATCAAAATATTTTGTTTTTAACGCTATTTTCACATAACTTACATAAAATTTATACTGAATTTAACTTATATTATATACATTATATATACCGCATGTATGTGTATATAGTATATAGTACTATAATATATACTGTATATAAACTTATGACCCTATAATCAATGATTATTTTTTTTATTATTATTATTATCTCATAAAATTTTTTTTAATCATATAATTATTATTAATTTTTTTATTAATTTTATTTACGCCTATCTATTATACTGCTGTATAATGTATGGTAGATAAGGTATCTATAGATATGTACACTTAATATACAGTATAAACTGTGTACAGTGTGTAACTGTGTTTTATAACTAATAAATTAATTTTTAAAAAAATTTTAAAAATGTTTTTCGAATACAGAATATTCCTTAACAACAAAATCAAAATATAAAATAATAATTATTATTCTTATAAAAAAAATTAAAAATCTAGTTTTTTTGAATACAGAATATTCTTTCACAAAATAAAAATCAAAATAATAATTATTATAAAAAATAAAAATCTAGTTTTTGAATACAGAATATTCCTTAACAACAAAATCAAAATAATAATAATTATTATTATTATTAACAATAAAAAAAACACTTACTTTTGTTTCATTACTTTCTTTAACATCATTGGACTATACAGTAGACTCTTGCCCTGAGATGTGCGCCTCTTTTGTTGTTGCGTTTGTTGTTGACGGGCGGCGACGCCCAACAGTGGCGAAGCCGGTAGACTACGATTGATAAGCGATGCCGACGATAACGGCAACCGACTCGAGGCAGCGGCGGCCGCAGTGTTAGCACGTGTTGTAGCGGTCATCGGCATAATAGTCTCAATACTACTGGGACTGGTGGCGGCGGTGGTGGCCAACAGTGCGTGCGGTAGACTACCCCGATGTCTGTTCAAATAGGGCGGCCTATTATGGACCAGTGCTGGCGGCGCGGATAATAGCAGCGGCGGCGGCGGCGGATCAGTGTTGTTGATGTCCGTACGGGACGTACTCCTTGAACGTGAGGTCATCGACGCCAGCGATGCTATCTTATCAAACAAATCGGCCGATAATGACGCCGACGATAACGATGTCGATGACGATGGTGTTGTTGTCTGTACGGAACAACTGTTAGTAGTGGTAGTAGTAGTCATCATCGGGCGATGGTTTGAGCACTGATTTGTTGAGCAGCTGCTGAAGACACTGGTATTGGATGAACCCGTGGTGGTTGTGGTTGTGGTCAACAAAAACTTTTTGTCCTTAAGTTTACTATTATTATTAGTATTGGGTTTCATGGCTAGACATTTGGTGGTCACATATGAAGAGGAGTCGGCGGCGGCGACAGTATTATCACAATAGTCCGGATAGTCGTTATCGGCTTCGGTATCTGTTTCGTCAAATGATCGGTTGTTTGGACAAGAGTTTGGATGATTGTGTCGTTGCTGATGATGATGGTTATGATGGTTATGATGGGCATCAATATTATGGCACTGTTTTATTGTTGTTGTTGTTGGTGGTGGTGGTGGTGTCGGGGCTTTCAATGTTAGCCGACGCTGTTTACTGCTATTAGTTTGACTATAACTAGTGTGAGGACCGGTGGCAGCGGCGGCGGCGGCGGCGGCGGCCGTAGCGGTAGAGGTAATGGTACGACACTTTTGATAGCCGACTACAGACGGTTGCCGCGACAACAGCAACGAGTCGGCGGCGGCACTGTCGGTGGCTTCGGTATCGATGTCGTCGATATAACGAAAATCGTTTGTCGTTGTTGTTGTTGTTGAGGTGATCAGCGATTTCTGGTCAATAGCCGACTCCGAATGCAGTGCCGATAGTGCGCCCCACGTGCCAGTACTGGCCATTACCGATGTCGGCGATGCGGAAGCAGCGGTGGCAACACCACCACCGAAACTAGTAGAATAACCGCCGCCGCCGATTCCACGGCGTTGATGTTTAGGACTGGATACTGACGCCGCCGTTACCGCTGCATATTTAGCGGCCACAATAGTGGTAACATTGGTGGTGGCCGCGCCGTTAGTTGATTCAGAGCGGCGACTCTGTTGGGCGGCAGCCGTAGTCAAATCGGATTCAATACACGAAACACTTGATTTGCGGGGACTTTCCTTTTTGTGGGTAATCTTATAGCGCATGGATTTTGGCGGCGAAACGTTTGGCGAATCGGGTGTAGTGTTGGCGGTAGTGGATGTCTTGTGGTGACAATGATCACTGTTGTTGTTGTTCAGATTGATCAGTGCCATTGAATGGTGCAACGGTTCCAATGGACACTTACCGCCGCCGCCGCCAACACTATTTAGCGAATAATAACTAACGGGTAGTTCGGCGGCGGCGGCTGTAAAACGTTTGGCAGCCAATCGGCTAAACGAGTCGTCAGCCGATGACTGCTGCTGATGATGATGATTGTGGTAGTAGTGATGATCACTGACAACAGGAGCGACAACCGATTTGGACTCAATTATCGGCGAAAACAGTGTCTGAGTTGTCTTTTCCAGGGCTGTCAACGAGTTTAGTAAATCGGTAATCGACTGGAAACTGGTTTGCGTCGATATTGTCGATGATATGGCGGTGTTGTTGGCGGTGTTGGGACCACCAGTCGTTGTCATCGTTGGTTTGACTGTTGTCGTAGTGGTAGCCGTACTGGGAATCGGATGTACTGTCGATGACGGACCGCTGCCGCTGCCGCTACTCATCTCCAGATAGTGTAGGTCGCCGTGTATTTGTAATGTCAGAAACTCTTCACCACTGGCCGCGGCTGCGGCAGCGGCAGCAGCGGCGGCTCCTGTAGTAAAATCATTGACCGATCGGCTACTAAACTGATAGGTTGGCCGCTTTTCGGGCGATACAGTTGTCCGGTTGTTTTGGCCGCCAAACAACAACATATTATTATTAGTATTGTTGTTGGCATTGCCGGTATTATTGTTGGCCAGTAGACTACTTTTGAACGGTGTCATCGGTGCAATGGGTACACTTGAATCCATGTCCATCATATAGGACATGGCCGCTTCGTCCTCCGAGTCCGATGACATCATTATCATCGATCCGTTATTATTATTATTATTGGTTTCGTAGCCTTTAATCGGTGAACAACAATAGGATGGATACGACGGATCGGCGCCCCGTTTTTCGCCCAACTCTTTGATCGACAGTGTCATCTGCCGTGGCTGTAGATGCAATAGACTGGTCCGATAGGTAATTGAGCCCAATTGGGACGGTAGCCAATCGCTGAGGCCAAGTATCTTGAATTTGGTACCCCATATATTGGATGTAACCAATACTAGCTTTTCGTGTTCGGGCAGTTCGTCCGGGTATTTGTGGGGCGACGTCGCCGATACCGCCGATGATGACGACCCGCCGCCACCAGTGCTACCGGTGTTTGACGTTAAGGACGTATTGGACGACTCGTTACTACTGTTGTTGTTGTTGTTGCGCGACGACCGCCGCTGAAAGTGATGACGAAAGCGCCGACGTCTACGTCTAGTCGATGGCGATTGTTGACTACCGGCGCCGCTGCCGCCACCGCCGACGCCAAACGGGTCGTCGCATTCGCTGTCCTCCGATGAGGTGGCGTACGGTGTCGATCCACCCGACGATTGGCCACTGCCGGTAGTGGTGGTAGTGGCCGGCCTATCGAGTTGCGGATCGTAGATAACAAATTCGGGTTTCAATTTTGAGGCCCGTTTACCCTTGAGTATCGGTACGAGTCCGCCAAGATATTCCAGATACAGTATATAGGTTGTACTGCTGGTCAGATAGTCGTCCTCTTCGTGCCGTATCATTGTACAGTGCAATCGGGTATTATTGTCGGGCGGTTTCGATACAAAATCACGCAATTGGGTCAGATCGGGTAGATAGCACTGTAGAGTCGGATGAAATAGTTGGGCCACTGATGACTGCAAACGCCCGGGTAGTGGCAATTGATCGGTACATTTGTCATCGGCACCCGGTGCCAGACAACCATATATGGACAGTTTGGACAGTAACTGTAAAGTGGGTATACGTTTGGTTATCCATGCAATATATAGTACAGGACCGGTAGCTATGAACAGTCGTTTGTCCGAATGACCCCATGTTATGGCCGTAATCGGGTATTGTTGACACTCCAGTTCGTAGCGGAGTCTCAATTGACCGGTATATGTATAGAACATCAGGACATTACGATAGGTAAACGAATGGTCACCGCTTAGCGGATCCAATCGTGATTCCCTGATCTGATGGCCGGCAATGGCCAACAGTTCGCCATTGTTTGACCACTCAATTTTGGTGGACAACAGCTGCGATCGGATGATAATCGGAAACAAGTCGTCATAGTTTTGCATGATATAGATGGTACCCTCGATAAAGGTAACGGCCAGCGAGTGTACGGGTAGTTTAGCGGCTGCGGCGGTGGCAGTGGTGGAGGCGTTGCCGGTAGTGTTGGTCTCGGAAGTGCTACCATTGATGTTGTTGTTGTTGTTGGTCTTCAGCAGCAGCAGCTGTTGCTGCTGCTGCTGGTCATCCGTGTCGTCCATTTTGAACTTTTCGCACGACCAGCACATATGGGTAATGGCTATACCTTCCTGTATGGATACCTGGGCGACCATTGTACCATGGACATCTATAACTATATAAACAAAAAAATAAAACAATATATATATATAATTTTTACTAATTTTAAAAAAAAATTAATTACAAACCCCATCCCCTCCCCCCTATATATATATATGAGAT